AAATGAGCTATAACACTTGCTCATGTCAGTCTCCTTTGGACGTTTTGGCTGGGTTCGTCTGCCAATAGTCGTCCTCAGCGTTGGTAGGTACCGATGAAACCGAAGACTCCTCCAAATGACGTTTTTTGGATTTCTTCTTTCGTGATTTTCCCGTTGACTTGCGTAGGCGGGAATCCCAGTTCCAAGTTTCTATCGGCCAGGCGAGGCAAACACCGCAGTTGATGTGCCCATTACATTTTCTGCCACATGGAATGCAAATACGGTGATCATCGTAAGTGAGCATCGATATATGGCACTCTTCACACTTTCGTCCGAAAGTGTTTGAATCCGAAGTGCTGGGATGAACGGTGTTCAACTCTCCGGTATCCATATTTTCCGCCATCTTGAAACTGAAGGCGGGCTTTTGAGTTTCGTTACTAAAACTACAATTTTTTACTCAAGGTGACTAAGTACGAAGTTCTTGACGTCCACAAGAGCTTCCTGACACACTAATAGTTCGGTGGCTGTGTTGATGGGTGGTAACAATGAATTTCCACCGCAAAAACAATGATATTTTGGCAAGCCCAAATTTCAACCGTGAATCAATCTCGTGGTTAAAAATGGAAGTATGCAAATCAGATGACAGGGGAAGGACGCCCCCTACGGGAGCTATCCACTGTTATTTTGATTTTATTTAACCAGTATTATATGATAATTGGCAATTATCCCATTTGTTTATGAAATTAAAATTTCATTAACCAAAGGGGTTAGTATGCAATACTCTGTAATAAACAGCAGTAACACTCAACCACATCCAACGCGGAAAACAGTCGCGCTACCAAAGATCGAATTACAAACCTTTTCCGGTAATGTTTTAGAATGGGCAAGTTTCTTTGATATCTTCAAGTCATCCATTCACTCTGACACTACCTTAGATAACATTCAAAAGTTTGTTTATTTACGAAGTATGTTGAAAGATGAAGCTGCAAGAACTGTCGGCGGTTTGACGCTGACGGATGCTAACTACTCACACGCAATCGAGCTACTAGAGGAAAGATACGGACAAAAGCATCAAATTATTGACGCCCATATGACTGCGTTATGGAATCTAAGTAAACCCGTGGATGACGCGAACAGTTTGAGACACTTCTATGACTCACTCGAGAGTCACGTCCGAGGACTACAATCGTTAGGGAAGGATGAGCTTACCTATGGCGAACTTTTAGTTCCTATGATAAGAGAGAAACTACCTCCAAGCATACGCAAACAGATTGCCAGAGATCATGGTAGTTCAGCCTGGACCTTACCTGACCTACGCAAAGCAATTCTACGTGAAATAGACACACTGCAAGCCGGTAAGCCAATAGACGGTTTATTCACCATGAATGATACATTGCAGCCGGAATTAACCGCTGCGTTTCACACAACAGCACAGTCAACGAAAAAGAGACCGCAAACTTGTCCCTTTTGCAAGGGTACGCACTTCGCATCGAACTGTACGATAATTACTGATACACGTAAGAGACTGGACATTGTTAAGAAAGATCGACTTTGCTTCAATTGTTTCGGTAAGCACAGAGTTTCTGAGTGCAAATCGAAATACTCGTGTCGCGTCTGCAAGAAACGCCATCATACCGCTCTACACTACGACGCGAACAAGCCTGAACGGTCATCTACATCGTCAACTACTACTTCTGAAATCACCGTGACCCTGACCAAAGCTAACCCTTTGCTAAATAAGAAAACCGCCATCGGACCCGTGCTGTTGAAAACCGCGCTTGTGCCGATATCAGCCGGGAACGGAAATCCTATACGCGCTGTTGTTCTTTTCGATGAAGGGGCAAATATGACATTCACAACAGAGAAATTTGCCCGAGAGTTGTCCGCGAAAACGACACGCCGCGAGCACATCAAACTATCAACATTTGGCGACAAAACGTCCAATGTACGCGCCATGGCATTCACTGAGTTAACCGCACATGAATTGAATGGAAATACCTCGACGATCGACGCAATGATTATACCTGAAATATCTTCGGACTTGACTAATCACATTTCCCAGGAAATTCATAACATGAGCCATTTGAAGGGATTACATTTCGCTCATCCAGTTTCTGATGATGAGAAACTTCCTATTGATATATTAATAGGGGCTGATCAATATTGGAATTACGTTGGATCTCAAGTAATTTCTGGTATGGTCGGTCCAACCGCCGTTTCCTCCAAATTTGGATATTTGCTCTCCGGGCCCTCTGGAACTACTAATACAGTGGATTCTAATGTACGTATGCTTCACGTGATTTCCACTCCGGACAATTATGTTACCAAAAATACTATTGTAACGGAAAATGGCCGCGAAATTGTTGATAACGTGGATATTCAATATACTAGCCGAGGAGACGACGCAAAAGTCCAAAATGTGTGGGACTTGGAACTAATTGGAATTAAAGAAAGTCCGGAAACTGACAAACGTATGAGCTACGAATCGTATAAAGACACACATCTGAGGGTCGACCAAGGAAAATACGTCGCACGACTACCATGGAAAGAGGATCACCCACCACTGCCGACGAACTATAGTGTTACTGTGAACCGTACACGTAACATGATTCGCCGACTAACACCCGATGTAATCAAAAAGTATGATGACATCATCGCCGAGCAACGACGTCGTGATTTCATCGAAGAAGTTAACGAAGACGATACAAGTATCGGACACTATTTACCGCATAGAGCGATAAAAAAGGACTCGGCAACTACACCCATTAGAATTGTGTATGACTGCAGTTGTAGTCAGGGTGCTAGCTTTCCGAACTTGAATGACTGTCTACAAACCGGCCCATCGTTGATAAACCTACCTGATCTACCAGCCATTCTACTACGATTTCGCTCAAATAACATTGCATTAACGAGTGACATTGAAAAGGCCTTTCTGAATGTTAGATTGGAAGAAGACGAGAGGAAATTCACGAAATTTCTGTGGCTGTTAGACGCGTCTGACCCAGAAGGTAAATTCATAACATTACAATTTAAAACAGTATTGTTTGGCGCTGTTTGCTCGCCGTTTATCTTAAATGCGGTTATAAAAACGCATTTAGACGCCAACAACACACTTTCTACAGCCAAAACATTAAAGAACAATATTTATGTTGATAATGTGATCGATGGTGTTGATACTACGGAAAATGCCATAAAATACTATAAAGAAGCCAACAAGCTAATGACGACGAGCGGATTTAAACTCAGGGCGTGGTCTTCTAATTGTGAACAATTGAACGAACTTTCCAAACGCGACAACCTCAATGAGCCCACCGAAACTGT